ATTTAACCCGAGAAAGATAACCTACGTTGCAGAGGCGCCTGCGAAGACTGTTGATTTTTGTTAATTTTTCATAGAGGTCTAGTGATTTAAGTTTAAAATTACTTAAAATATAAAAAAATATAATATAAATGCATTTTATTTTTACAATAATGCCAAACCTTTAAAATGACTAGATTAACTTAAATAAATATCCATTGTTAGTATAAAATTGACGCCTTAGAAAAGCATGCGCCTCTGAAGCGTATGGTTATCTTTTACGTACGTTGTCATATGGTTATCTTTCTAGGGTTAATCAGTTGAAATCAGTAGACCAACATTCTTAGATTTGGTTACTCTTTGAAGTTTTACTCTGTGCGCATGTGACGGAAATTAGGTGAAATTTAAATATGTAATAAAATTATGGATTTTGTGGATATGATTTTAGTTGCTGCCAAAATGATTGCGATATCTATTTTTGAACTTTATGGATATATGTTTTAATTTATAACGTCCATTCGTCATGTTTTTATCCTAATTTCTACCCGGTGTGCGTAAAGTCGTACGAATTTTTATTTGCTTCATTTTTATTTTATTATAACGAGAAGCAAGAGTATCTTGCAACAATCGAGACAGAAAATACATACTTTGAATTGACATGAAACGTCGCGTCAGAACAATCGCAAGTTCGAACGATGAAGAGTTCAATTATTTTTGCACCCATATGAGATGCACTGTTTCCATCTTATTAGAATTGTTAAGGGAAAAATGCAATTTTTGTTTGGCTCCTGTTTCCTGCAAAAGATATAGAAAACTGTTGTTTCGCCTAGAGATCGGCAGGATAACGATAAGGGTTGTTGTGAGAAGGTGTTGATCGAAAGAACGTCTGCTGCTTCGATAGAAATAATTGGAGGATGTTGAATGAATTCATGACTGAACTGCAGATTTTTATGCAAATTCTCATTGTTCTGAATATTTTTATAAAGAAGGAAATGATTTCTTATACGAACTAGAAAATTCCTTGCGGCGAATATAGAATAATAAAATTATTCATTTTTGTTAATATAGACAGTAGCAGCATATAGACAATAGCATTTTAAAAAACTTGCATGTACATATCATAAATGCAACAAAATCCGCCGTCCGTCCATGACATAGATTTTCGTAAATAGTTTCTACAAGTTGTTTTACAAAACAAAGAACGAAGGAACAAATTGATTTTGCCGATCATAAAATTACGTCATAATAAGAATATCGTGTAAATTTATTTCCTGGCACTTCAAATGATTTATTGGATATAACAATAATGTTCTCTCGTCTCGTACGATCTTGCGCCGTCCCTTTGACGTATTATACTTCGGTTTAGCGATCGGGAGCACGGTTGAGAGAATATATTTTTAGTCGATATTCGTCGCGCCGAAATAGCGTCGGTGGTTAATGTAATCACGGGTTCAATGCAGCATTATAATATTCATACTACACGCGCGGCACAATAAGCATTACAATCGTCGACGTTGTATTAACATGATAATGGTAAAACGCCGCGCGCGTTAATTGCTGCTTCATTCGCTTTTAATTAGAGCGGCGGAATTTTTTACAGTCGTCGGCGAATAAAATTCGATTCGCGTTTTAGTATGCGATTCGCGCGAAACCGACGCGCCACGCGTTTAATGTTTTAAATCAGTCGTGTTAGTCTTTTGTCTCGCGTGACGGTTAAACGAATTCCGATACATTGGTGCAACGTTCCCGCAGTTTGTAATTCTGATCACTTCGATTTCTGGATTACGATTACCGATAACGTCAATTTAAATATTCGTAGAAATGGTTTCTATATTTCTTTCAAAATTTACATTGCGATTAGTTTAGTTCTATTATCGCATAATAAGTCATTCAATCTGCTACAACTATTTACACAGATGTCGATCGTTTAAGATACGACATGATGATTTTGCGACGAAACGTTGTCACGATCTGGTTATTTTATAAAAAGCTAGAAAAATTGTTGTCACAATTTAATGCTAAAACAACTTTTTATTTTCACAGAATTTCGTGTTATAAACTAGTCGTCAAACTTTTAGCATGTACACGAAACTGTTGACGGAGATGCGATTAAAACAGTGCGTTAAGAAACGTTGCGTTGCCGTTCGTTAACACTAGGTTCACGGAACTCATCAAAACGACGGGTAGCTAACTTTGTTAATCGACGATTGTTCAGATTGTAAAGATACATTTACGAATTATTCAGTTATTTGTATATATATATAACAAATATATAAATAATGTATATAATAAAATAATATAATAATAATAATATAATAAATAATATTATAATAATAATAATAATATAATAAATAATATAATAATAATAATAATATAATAAATAATATAATATATATAATAAATAACTAAATAATTGTAAAGATACATTTATGATACATAAATAACTAAATAATTCATAAATGTATCTTTACAATCTATATATATATTTTTAATAAATATCACAATATTTATTAAAAATCAGAATAAATGTCTTACCGTTGCTTTTATAAACTGAATATAAAACAGCTGGTTCTCCGGTGCTCCGCAAATCTAGCGTTAAGAAACAACGTTCATGGCAAATTCACTGACCCAACGTGTCCACCGGAGAATAACGCGATTGGCTCGATACCATAAACCCGCGATAATTTATTCGTCCACTCGACATACATACGTACATATGTCAGACATTGTGAACTATGTTGAACAGCGCGGGCGTCGTTCGGTAATCAAACCGGTACTCGTGCATGGAAATAATCGCTCTAATAAATTCGAGACATCATGGGATCGTCGAATTCTGCTCTCCTCGGCCCCATTGCCGATTATAATCCCAAGAATAATAGTACGGCGCGGAACGCTCTCAAATTAGTCGCCGGTACTAACCTATTCCGCGCGGCAGAGCATGAGAATTGAACAAATTCTGATATCGATACAGAGGACTCGGCGTGGCTGACGACATCGATTTAGACTTGTTTCGTCCGTACTGCTCTGAAATATATTGCACGATATCCTAATCTCTTTTTCATTCCCCTGTTATATTCTATATGCGAATTTGATCAAATTCTCTCAAATTTCAACCGAGCATCTCACGGCAATATTTGGTTAAAGACGAGTAATTTTACGATCACACTTGCCAAAAAATATTCTACTGTGTCAGAACTATTCTTAACACTGTTTACAGTGTCCGTAAATGGTTTGGTCAAAAGCTTTGGTCAAGCAGTGTCTCTATCGAAATTTTCAGATAATCAAGTATATTCCGACAATCGAAGTAACAGCAAATAATTCTTCGACTATCAATATTCAACACTCTGTACCATGTTTATAAATATTCTTCGAACTTTCTCGTCAAAAGAATCAAGTATATTCCGACACGTGAAAGGAAAATGAGTGATTCCTCAATTATCGAAAATTCGAACGTAAATACACGACGTATAAAATAATTAACGAAGCATTTTACGTTGAAAGCAATGAACACCGGCGAGCGCGCTAATTAACCCTTTGCACGGGAAGCCATTTTGACTCTAAATCCGATACAGTTTCTCTAACCTAGTGGTATTTCCATAATACATAATTTATTGGATTTTATGCGCGGGAAATCAAATTTTGCGGCTTCGTGCAGTAGTTGCGCTTTTAACGATTTTTTTTCGAAGCTAAATAAATATGACAATGTAGAAATTATTTTGGAATGCGATACAATTTTTCGCGGTGCCCCCTTAGAGTAATCCGTTCGAGTGCAAAGGGTTAACTTCAACGGCGCGTACAAGAAACGACGCATGAGTCCCGACGGAAGAACTTCGCCAGAGATAAACGATACAATCATCACGCTACCGACTTTCTAGATTTTTCAGTGCGGCAGCCAGCACGTGCCAGCCTCCCAGAGGACAACTAATTACCCTCTTTTACAGGCAATCATCAGACATATCGCAAAGCGAAGCGGTCCCTCCGCGGCCGTGTGTTCTCCGCGTTCCAACTCAGAGCACCCTTTTTCTCATTGACTCTACCTATTTTATATTTCTTTTAATCGCGCCGACTCGCGCTGACGTATCCCCACTCCACTCTCAAACCTACGCTTTTCACCACGGCCCCCCTGAAAAGCGGAAGCAACGTTCGAGAGACAAAAGAAATCAGACTAGCTGATGCAAACCGGAAACCGTTCCGTGAAAGAACGAAACGTCGCGACGCCACTCGAAGGTGAAACAAATTTTCTAAAGTCAGTTCTCAATGTTGCTGTCTATTGCGCGGCCTCGTGCTCGTGATCGTGGTCGAAAATCGGGCCCGACACACGCTATTGGACCCACACAACCGGTCGTTAAGAAGGCTGCTGCGACAATAAACGCGAGGCGACTACACGGCGCCGTGGTTACTTTCACCAGCCCAGAGTCCCACTTGGTAAGCCTTCAGTATCCAAAAAAGCTTTCAAAACAAAAAAAAAACGAGCCAAAAAAAAAATAAGAATGAAAATTTCACAGAAAAATAATAGCGAATGGAAAAAAAAGTATATGAACGAAAATCAATTTGCGAGAGATTGAATGAAACGCAACAGAGAGCTCGTGCCCGTTTTTTAAACGTTGCTCTCTTTCTCGCTGATTGGCCCGGCCACTTGATACGCACTTGTATAATTATTCTATATATATATACGTATGTCACGTTGGTGTGTGTGTGCACAGTCCATATATATATAGAATATATTTATATATATAATTGGCTAACTCTCACGCGAAACTTAGCTTTTTAGCGAGGAGCGATCACCAGAGCACCAACTTTTCTTCTCGAACCACTCACTTACCCTGCTGTCTCTCTCTCTCTCTTTCTCTCTCTTCCTTCTTTCGTTTCTGTTCTCTCTCTCTCTCTCTCTCTCTCTCTCTCTCTGGTCCTCCTTTCATTTCTTTTCTTTATCTTTGTCGAAAGATACGCGCGCGGCGCGCCGGGACGAGGGAAAATCGGCACCGCGACAAAAACTTTCGAGATGAGTTCTCGAACTGTCATCCAGTTTTTCGATTACGCGACGCGATCCGCCCACGCTCATCGATGGTTCGAATGATCAAACAGGACGAGCCATCGTTCTCCCTCTAAACCCCTCTGTCGCCCGGCTTGATGGGACTTCGTCGAGAGTATCTACTCCGGCGCCACTTTTTTTTTCGCGCTCTTCGTACCCGTAATTGTCTCGCGTTCAAGTTATCGCGACGACTTCCGAATCTGTCGGCTTTCGGTTTTTCGTTGCACGGTCCTCTTCGCAAATCTGTTGGATCGTTCGGAAAGTAAACTAATTTTTTCGAGTCAATATTTTGCCGATCGAGAGCTCGACTTCTACCAGCATGGAATTTCACAGTTACCAGGAAGATGAGAGAATGATACGCGTAGAACAAAATGATATTGAATATCATTTATTGAATAAAATGTATAGATAACAATGAAATATTAAGCAATCGCTTTTCATTTTCCATTGGAGAAACGAACTTTCAAATTCCGTACACGTGACGTAATATTTTTTCTTGCTCGAACAGCATTCTTATGTTTTCGGTATTGAAGAAAGCAAAATATGCCGAAAATGCTGCTTTTGTTCTCATATTCGACGGTACATCTTAAAAAGAGAGTCGATCAGAATTTTTTGCAAATAAGTCTCGAGACGTTGGCTGCTAAAATTCGTATGTAAAAAGATTATGTAAAATTGCCTAAAGTTCACCTGCAGTCGAATAATGACAATACGATTTAGAATGAAGTTGACTGGTTAGAAAACTGGCGAAGTTCGTCGGCAAAGAAACGAAATTACTTTCCGAAGAATCCAATAGCTTTTCCATATCTGTTCTTCTTCGAGACGACGTTGAGTAAAGTCGAAGTTATCGAGCGGATTTTTAGAATTCACGATTATCATTTTTCATTGAAATCTTCGCGATCGTGATTTTCTGTGGTATCTGTTTTTTTTTCTGACGATATCGAGTAATTATGTTTTAAATAGTCGAAATTATTGAGCGGATTTTTAGGTCTCACGATTTTTATTTTTCATTCCAAAAATTCAGAACCTTTGATCGATATTTTCTCTTATTTTTGTTAAAGCATACTTGTTTATTTTCTTTTTCTTTTTGTGAAACTTTCATATCGTTGCGTCGATTCGAGAAAATTCAGGCGTAACGATGAGCTGCGAAACATTGCGCGACGACACTCTGCCGATTTTCCCACGTTTCTGCGCAAGCTTTCTTGTGAATGGTTAGGAAGTCTGTCACGATTTGTATATAGTTCACGCGTGGGGATCTTGCTCACGATCTTAAAGCTAGCCTCTATAGGTTACACCACTGGTCACTGCACATGCACGCAATAATCTTCGCTCCTCTCGGTATTGTCATCACTGTCACTCATCTCGACACAATCATCAATATCATCTCTGTCTCAATATCATCGGAATGCTCGTCGTGCTCTTTAGACTGGCGCGATCGATGCCACGCGAAAGATTCGTCGACGAACGAATTTCAAGAATTTTCAAAGAAAAATCGAACTCTAGAGACAACGAACGACGGATTTCTCTCGCGCTTTTCGAACGATTCGGAGAGACCGGTCGCGGGAATCGTTTTTCGCTAGTTCCGAAGACGTTCGCGAATGATCCGCCTTTGATACGAGTCAATTGCTCTCGAGGAGGATCGTTTGATGTTAATTAATTAACCGCGCGTCGATTAACGACGCTGGTACCGTGGGCCATTGGGTTAACGGGGCGGGACAAGGATCCCAATCGGCTAGAAACTCATTTCATCGAATCATCTTCTGTGCCTCGTGGAATGAGCGACTAATGAACGTCTGACAATTGCCTTTTAGCTCGAGCACTGAAATGCATGAGGAAAGAGGAACGGAACGAATCGCACCGCCTGCATGTTCTCGCAACAAAATCTACGTCTAATTGTTCTTTCAGGACGAAAATGGCTGCGTTCCACGGAACGCGACAAAAACCGCGGCCCGTCGTCGCGACGGCTCCTCTTCATTTCGACGATCTATGTTTGTCCTGGAAAACGATGCTGAAACAGAGACGTTCGTGAAACAAATTTATTTTCGGCGAAACACGATCGATCCTAGTCGAATCCTTTGATCAACGTATTTATCAGTGTTTTGCTTATCGGCCAGGTGAATCGACGGTTTCGATACTTTTCGTTTGACGGTACGACCCCTTCACATACAACGACCAGTTGGAATCGTCAATCATTTCATGTGCCACTGTAGACTTTAACAGCTGTTCGACTTTGAGAGCTGTTTTTTCGGCGGACGCCGTGCATTATATTATTAGATTATTCAGTTGCTTCACTCGTGTGTTGATTTTGCTGTCTCTGACGATGTCTTTTGATGTACCACCCTCCCACCTTCTCGACAGTACCAATAACAAAGTTGCATCCAGAAATCGGTAATCTAAATTTCAAAGTAAAATATTCTCTTTCTCAGCTTGCACATAACTGTTCAATGGAGCCAAATTATATGGTATTTTTCGGACGCACCGAATTCCGTTTTATTTGTATGTCAAGGGGTTAAAGCCTTACACGGTTGTCATTGGGCTGTGGATGTTTATGCGAAATAAAAATTGTCGATGCGAATTGTTAGAAATGAAAGCCAAATGATACGATTAAACGATGCTCATCTTTTAATCGTCGAAGATGAAACAGTGTGCGTAAGAATTAATATTAATTACGCAAACACATCATTATCGGAGGATCTTTCGGTCGATAAATTGATATTGACCACATGAATGATTAGAAAAAATTACAAAAATTATAAAAAAAAAAGAGATCAAGAATAAAAAGAATCATATTTAGTAATTAAATGTTAATATTAACTTCTTTTTTACTTAATTATAATAAAAATTATGCTGTGCATTATTAGTGGCATTGTTCGTTAACTTTTTGCAGCTAATTCGCAAAATCCTTATTTACCTCAATTTTAAGGTTAATGGACTTACATCGATTGGCTTCGGAGCTTTGGATATGTAATACGATCACAGACACTTTCAATGGCTTCTCATTTCGTCTATTAATTTTTGTCACGACTGTATAATATTTGCAAACCGTTCACTTTAAATTGCAGTACAAAAGATATTAGTGTACACCTAGTTTCGCAGTACACTTTAAACTCGGGCGTTCTGTTTCATTAAAAGTTGGACATTTTAAAGAAACATATCTTGGAGCGAAAACGAGGAGAAATGAAACATCAAATGGATGAATTTTCTTTGTGACGAACGTGCGTGAGTTAAAATTAATAACTAGGTCGAGGACTTCGTGAATTTATGACAAAACTGAATAGATGAGATCTGAAACGGATATATTGTTGTCGACTGATTAAAATGATTAATGAAAGAAATACGCTTTTATTGGACACTTGTTTTTCGCATTGTCGTTGACCATGTTTATTTTGCACACTGTTTTGCAGTCCGGCAACAAATTATGATAGCAGAGAAAGAAAATCAGGCCCAAGAAAATATGACGAAGTTCAAAAGTAGTTAAACTTTATATTATAAAAAGCACATTATTTGTCTATATTTCATTACAAACTAATATTTTAATTTATAGAAAAGCAATCTTTGCTCAGTCCTTTAAGTCTATTCAATCCATAAAATTGCGAACGAATAAAGAAAGAACGATACACATTTTCTATTTCTTTCTGTTTCTTTGAGAAAAAAGTGCAAGTTTATAAAAACATAACATAAGCTTCTGAGTCCTACAAAACATTCGAGAAACATAATATTGCGTAAAAGAATCAGTGTACGTGCTCGGATGAATTTTCCAAAATAATATCCAGCTGACAGAGTTATGTATACACCATTTTTGTTGGTTCATTTTATCGAATCAGAGTTGATCGAATGTTATAATCGGACAGAAATTCCTGAAAAATCGATTGAAAGGAAACCAAAGTCAAACAAGAACACGTTTCTTCGTTTAACAATTTTAACAGATTAAGAATAACATAAGTATTCTAAAATTTGTTTAAAGTCTTCGTGCTTTTACATTTCACCTACTCGCTTAATACAGAAAAAAGAAACGCATAAAATTCGCAGTCCGCTGATCACTGATCAGAAGACGTACACTCTCCGAGATACAAAATTAAAAAATTCATACGAAACGCCTCGCATAGAGCGTGAAACCGAAGCCGAAGCCAATTTCGCTTCGCAATCGAAACTTCTCGTCGGCGAATGCCACGGCTATACAAATTCGCCGAAGCGACACGGTGCTTAGAAATGTCAAAATTAGCCTCCCCTCGGAAAACCCGTCAGCGAAAACGAAATACTAAGAAAATTCCATGAATCCTCGTTGCCCGCATTTTCACGCTCTCGTGTTCAGCGAACATTCAAATTCCACGGTCCGGCGGTCAAACACCAATCCCGGGGACCTCTCGACAAGTCCCGGTGGAACAGGCATTAAAAT